ACCCACTCAGGACACTTGGAACACATTGGACGAGCAGTATGGAGGAATATTGACACGTTTTTTGTGGACTTTTATGGACCTTTCTGCCTCGGGCACCATAGACCTCCATTATTTGAATGTCAGCAGACAGCAAGAAGCCTCCCAGATCTCCAGATGCATTTGAGATATCAAAAAAGTACTCCAGAGTGTTGTTCAGCATGGGGGTGAGTAGAAAATGAAGGCTAATCATGTTTTGGGTGTACTATTCCTTTAAGGTGACTCTAATTGTTTCCATTCTGCATTCTGAACGGTTAAAAATGCTCTTTTTTTTATTAAACAATTCCTTGATTGAAATCCTTCTTAATTTTAAACATTATAAAAGATACCTGAAAGTTTTTTTGGGATCTGTTCTGGAAGAAGTCAACCTCAGCAACAACCCCTTGCTCAGAGCACAATGCTACAATTAAATATATATATTTTTTTACAATTAAATATTTTTTATTCTGCAATTCCCAGAGTTGCTTGTTTTTGACACACAGCTTTTACATTTTTAATTCAAGTGTAACCATGACATTAATTTTTTTATTTTTCTGATTTTCTCATCACTATCTTTTTTTTTCAGCTTTTTTCTAGAGGATGCAAATTAGCAAATTGGAGGAAAATCCTCCAAGGACTTTTTTTTTTATCAGATTCAATTTAAAATCAGCATGTATGAACTCAGGAAACTAAAATGCTGTAACTGAATTAATAGATGCTACTTTAAAGTATTAAACTTAGTCTGTGCACACTCATCGAAACATGATTTTTCACCTTAAAGTAGTCATAAACTGGTATTTTACACATAGAATCCAGAAATTATCTTTACATTTCTAGCTTTTTTGGGAATTTTTTTTTAAATAGATCTTATTCTCACCCCTTTTTTTCCTTTGTTGAGGGTACGCAGGTACGAGGATTTGACATATGGGTATATGTGTTCATTTGGATGTAGTGCTAACAGCATTAGAAGTTCTCTTACACAACACCTTAAACTGAATAAACACTTTCTGATTGCCTGCAGGTGAGTCTCTGATTCTTGGAATCAACCATTTTGATGTAAAAGAAATGGGCGTGATGAAAGCAAGGCGGGCTAATGTTAGCAAATCAAGGAGGAGGACCAACTTTGCACCGGATAGCACTTGTGGGCTATCCTGGTTTGAACAAAGAGCCCGCACGAGAAAAAAAAGCAACATCAACACTCTTAGAACTCCTTTAGACATTTTCTCTTTAGAGATATTTTGCCCGTAACAGTTTGTGTCAATTTCAGTTGTACAGGATATGTAATATATGTTTATTTTCAAAACAAAAACAGTGTTATGGATGTTTAGAGTGTTAAGAGACTGTATAACCTGTTAGGATTTATTGCAGGAGCTAACCTATGTGTTTTGGTAGAAGTCGTACATTTTCCTTCTGGGTTTTAAAAGTCTGGCTGTAGAGGCTTTTGTATCAGAAACTATGCATATGTCAAGTCCACCACTGGGCTCTGTGTTTTGATTGACAAGGTTTGACCCTTTGTTGCTAGGCTCTCCTATGCATGGGTAGTTGTAGGAGGCCACCAGTCACCGGTGGACCGCTGTGAGACAAAGGTCACAACTTGAGGAGAATACTCATCTGTGTGCATGAGCCTATATTGACAAGGCACATGTAAAAAAAAAAAGAAAATAACTATGATGGAGGTTCTGGCACCTAAACATGGGGCCCTTTTTTTTGCTCCAGGGTATTCTTAACCTTTTGAAAGTTTTGTTTGATGAATATAATGAAGCATTGTATTTTTACTATGTATCTACATACAGCCAGGCTCCAAGACAAGCTGTATTCTCTCTGCAAGAAAAAGACTTGCTTACCGATCAGTCATATGGGGGCGCCCTCTGCTCTGCTAGAGCTTGTTGGAAAAATCAGAAAGCAGCTTCACTTCATTAATGTTTTAACAGAAAGACAATGAGAATGGAAAAGGTTCCCATGGGAAGAAAAATATGCTAAATATTTGGCAGCTGCTTTTGGACAGTGGTTTTATGAAGCTTTTTGTTAAATTGGACTAAGCATTCACAGCCCTGCTTCAGTTTTATGACAGCAAATAAGATAATCTGTGTTTTCATTTTTATGTTTTTAAGGCAAAGTTGTGAGAAATGTAGCTGAATAAATTTTACAGTAGCAAAGCTTTTGCTAAAACACCCTCTCTAACATCCTGAGAATAAGGTCAGAAGATCATCCCTCCAGTCTGAGTTGTATCATTTAGTCATCCTGTCTGTGGTCCTTAAGCTCAGGGGACCGGCCTGCCTCAGAACAAAGGTCTGGGTTTGCTGGAAAAGTAATTGTTGTTGCAAAACCAGTAGCTTTACTGTTTGTACTACTCTTTTACACGTCTGCAGACGGAGCCTAAAATCTGTGTCAGGACTTTGTGGTTTTTATGTTTTCTCTGCATTGTCACTTTGGTTTTTGGGGCAATGATGGTTGCTTCTCTGTGTCGGGTTGTGGGTAGTCTCGGTCCATCCATTACTCCCTCAAATAGCAAGAGACGATGTTCACATCAGACCATCATCCAGTTGCTCTCTGCACCAGGTAGCTTTTGCAGCCATCCCAGGTTGTTTTAGCCTAAAACAGATGTAACAGCAGGGCTCGATGTTCACCATCGCACGATCTCCCGGGGCAAGTAGTTTTTATTGTTGGGAGAGTACAAATTTCATTGCATTTGCCCGCCCGGCAAGTGCAATGATCGCAAAAGAAATATATATTTATCACTCAAAATTACTTTAAAATCATCGACATTCGATGAAAACGACCCAGAAGCATTGCCGGCGCCATTTTTGTTGTTTTGTACACATTCTTGCTCGATTTGAAAAAGGCGTGTGATTTGAAAAAGCCGGGTGATTTGAAAAAGCCGGTTTTCTGCCAGATGGCGGGATTTTTGTCCGGGAATTGGCGCGAATCAGACACATTTTTTTCGACTTGGCAGGCTAAAAAACAAAAATCCTTAACGTCAACCCTTGAACATCTGCTTTATTCAGAAGTTGCAGCTCTGACTGCCTTACCCTCTTGTTTAGTACTTTGATTAAACACAATATTTATGATTTTTCGTGTTACAGTCGCAAACTTAAATGTATTTTATATGACAAGGCTTAAAAGCTCTGTTTTAGTCTCATTCTTTAATGATACTTTCAGTAGAGACCCTATTTGTCCACTAGACAACCATTTGTTGCATGAATGTGTCCCATGTGCAAACACTGATCAACAGCTCAGGATATGCCCTGGATCAGGCGGTACATTGACATCACCTTTTCCAGTCAGGGGACTTCAAAGTACTTTACATTACATTCACTCATTCATGCACACATCACACACTGATGGTGTAGCCACATCTGTGGGGCCCGCTGACCGAACAGACAGGAGCCGTTCTGTACAGGAGCCACCATCACCAGGCATGTGGGTGGAGTGACTTGCCTAAGGACCCAATGACTGAGATACATGCATGTATCTCAGTCATTGTGTCTCTACAATTGGTTTAAGCCCCAACTCCAAGGAGTTGGGGCTTAAACCAATTGTAGAGTGAACTCCTGCATCCTGCGCCACTGTCGCACCACCATAGCAGATTGAACTGTTTTAAGATTGGGATACTATTTTGTAGTATTTATTTTTTTTTACTGCATGCCACGTGCAGTAAGTGGGTGTGTTGCAGATGATCTAAAAAGATTGGTGCGCAAATGTTAAGACGTGCAAACCGGTTTGTTTCTGCACATTAAAATTAGTAAGTGTTTTAGTGACAGTTCAAGAAGCCATGGAGATGGAGTTAATGAAAATGATTGAAAATTGTGAAATTAAATATTGTTTAAAGTTCAACTCATAGTCTGTTTTTAAAGTGCTAAGAACAAAGGTAAAATAAAAAAAAATAAAAGGTAAACACGCTTCAGGCGTAGTCATTTTTTTAGGAAATGGAGCGAGGAAAATGAAATCCCTGTTACAAAGAGATGTGCACTCTGCCCAACCTCACCCAGCCCGTTTGAAATTCTGTTTTTGCCACAACATTTAAGTTTGGTCACTTTTTTCATTTTGGTTCAATTATTTATATATAAAGAATAGCTGTCATGGCAACAATGGCCACCGATATTTGTGCGTGCTAGTTTGCACCTGACTTTTAGAAGTACTGAGGAGACGCAAAAACTGTGGCCACAGTTCAGTTTCCAACTTAGAAAAGCCCTTTGCACATTTTACATTTTTACATTTGCATATCCTCCACCCCTGACTTTGCACAGTTTGTTATTCAGATATGATCTGGATATTAATAAAGGCAAAAAATGAAAATACAATTTTTTTTGCATGCTCTGCTAGCTGAATTGTCAACACAAATAATTTTGCATCTTCAATACATTTACATTACATTCACTCATTCATGCACACATCACACACTGATGGTGGCAGGTTACAGTGTAGCCACATCTGTGGGGCCCGCTGACCGAATGTATGACCTGCTCTGCATTTTCAAGCACCTTTGCATCTGTTGGATCACCTGCAAACCTTCTGAACATTAGCCCCATACATATTTATGGCTTTTACGTACAAATAAAACGTTAATAATGATGTGAACTGATACTTTTCAGACACATAAAAGGTCAGTGCTGTAGTGCACACTACAGTGTTTTTCCTAGTTTTCCTCAAGTAAAGAGAATAAACAGAAGACTCCTGCATTTAACAGGCATTTTTCTGCAATCTGTTGTGGCTGGAGGCAAGAGCTGTATTGCAAAATAGTGTTCTAAGAGAGAAAATATGAGAAAAATGACAGGGTCATATCTATTTTGTGTAAATAGATTGGTAATGATAGCTAGACAGCAAAATAGGAGGCAAGAGCCCGCTACTGCAATTTGCCTCGAGCTTATGTTTAAGCACATGGGAGGTCATTGTGGTCTGTCTCGCTGTCAGTCACTCACACTCTGATTTCCTTTGTTGACTGTGTGTTCAACAACCTGTGACCATTTTTCCTCTTTGTATAACAGTGTGGGAACTTTGCTGTAATGGTGGATCTCCATGTTTTGCCCTTGGGGAGCCCAGAGTCCACCAGCTGGTTTACTACAGACAGATTTGAGGTATTGTATTAAATAGGTGTGTTTCCAAAAGAAGCCTACAGTAATTTCCTCCTTTTGATACCCGTGCAGTTTCTATACTTACCTGTCATCTATGCTTTGTTGTTTTTCTCCTGCTAGCATTATATTTAAATGTAAAGAGTTTAAATATATTGACATAGCAAACATCTGCTGTCTGCAGGAGGTTGCATCTCTAGTGCGAGATCCTGTCGACCAGAGGGTGAAGCAGTATGCAGAGTTTCTGCCAAACAGAAGAGGGCCTAAGCAGAAGAAGGAATTGCCACCTGCCTCAGCGTTTTTTCTGAAAGGTAGCACAGAGAGAACTTTACCGTACTGCTACCAATTTGGTTCAGTTTTGTCTGATTTTAATGTTTTCCCTTGAGAACTAAGATGCATGATTGAAGGATAGCAAGAGTGAGCATCAAACATATTATTCCCTTCAACTGGATGTTTTTCCAGATTTTTTTTTTGTGATCCCAAAAGATGCTGCAAAGTACATTCTGTTGAACAGTGCATTTGTTTATTGAATTAAGTGACCATTTATTAAAAACCATCGAAGAAAAAATCTTCTAAATTTGGCTGCAAGCAGCCCGCTCCTCCAAATACTATTTCTTCACCTTAAAAGTTAATTTTTACTGTTGTTTTGTTTATGTGTGATGAGCATCATTAGTTGGAGCTTCAGGTTTGCACATTCCTGGTATTTGTCTTCCTTCATTTTTGTTCTAGGTGTGTCTGCCATCAACTGTAGGCTTATTGACTCAATTTCGCTGTTGACTGAAACCATTACCCCATCAGAGTATATCACAGAAGTGATTGTGGTGAGCAGGATGGGAATGGAATTACAAAACAGTCCAAAAATATTTTTTTTTCTTCTATGTTCACTTTTTTGAGGTGTGTGGGTGTAAAGACAACACTACCAGTTGAGACACGGCAGAGTCCTACACCCAGGGCGTGACCCATGAAGGCGAGCACTGATAGGAGATTTTTTTTATATTGTGTTGCGCTGTTTGACTTGGCACAGCCCACCTGTGTTTGTTCATACAAGATGTAAATCTGTTATAGCAGCAAACTTCGGTTTCTCCCCTCTTGATATGACATTTGTGGCCTCTTTTTGTCTGTGCTTTTGCTTAAAGGAATAGTACACCCAAAACATGATTAGCCTTCATTTTCTACTCACCCCCATGCTGAACAACACTCTGGAGTACTTTTTTGATATCTCAAATGCATCTGGAGATCTGGGAGGCTTCTTGCTGTCTGCTGACATTCAAATAATGGAGGTGCCCAGCGCCCGAGGCAGAAAGGTCCATAAAAGTCCACAAAAAACATGTCAATATTCCTCCATACTGCTCATCCAATGTATTCCAAGTGTCCTGAGTGGGTAGCATCCAGAATTTACTCGAAACGAAGTCATTTAGAATGTTTTTAGAGCATAAACAGTAGTGTATAGGATTTCCTGAAAGCGCGTTCACGACGCTACGGAAACCGCGGCAGACCAAACATGATGAAAGTGCGCATTCAGCTCGGCAAAGAACTCATGCTCTTCCTCAACACTGAAGTCCTCAGACATTTTTCTTTCGTTGTTTCTTTCTTTGCACAGGTAAACAGCACATTTCTTCTTCTACGCTTGCATTATTGGCAGAGCAGACGCTGAACGCGGACTTTCATCTGGTTTGGTCTGCCGGCTTCCGTAGCGTTGTGAACGCGCAGGTGCGCGCTTTCAGGAAATCCACTACTGTTTATGCTCTAAAAACATTCTAAATGACTTCGTTTCGAGTAAATTCTGGATGCTACCCACTCAGGACACTTCGAACACATTGGACGAGCAGTATGGAGGAATATTGACACGTTTTTTGTGGACTTTTATGGACCTTTCTGTCTCGGTCACCATAGACCTCCATTATTTGAATGTCAGCAGACAGCAAGAAGCCTCCCAGATCTCCAGATGCATTTGAGATATCAAAAAAGTACTCCAGAGTGTTGTTCAGCATGGGGGTGAGTAGAAAATGAAGGCTAATCATGTTTTGGGTGTACTATTCCTTTAAGTGGAAAGTGAATCAAAAAGAGCTGCTATTGGCCGTACGCTTATTGAGCACGATTAACGAATTATTCAGCTCTGCTACGTGAGTCAGTTCAGGTCATTCATTCTTTATTTTTAAATGTGTGCACATCCCCTCAGCAACTTGCGGATTTTACTTTGAAGCACCAACTAATCCCAGCATTTAAGGAACCTCCAGCTGCGCGCTGTAAGACAGACGCGTTTGTTACAGGTAGCATTTAAGCACTGTTAAACCGGGCTCACTCAGCAGTGCAGCACTGTGGGAGTGGGATTACAGGGCAGTCAATCTCATAAAGTTTCTCTTCTGGCTACATATCTGCCTCTCACGCATACACATGTGCCATTCCTTGCAGAGGTGTTCCTCTTGAACCCTTTTCCTACTTTATTATGTTATGACCACAAACTTCATTCTATTTTATTTGCATTCTTTTTTCTTTATTTTTTATATAGGCAGACACAATGTAGGGCAGGACTTTGAAGTCGACATAAAAGGTTTAAAATGTTTTTGGATACATCCAAATAGTAGGAGGTACAATTAAACTCAACTGCCCATTTACACCCCCAGAAGAATTCTCAATAATACTGATATGATTTCGTTTTTTATATAACGTATGATGATTTTCCACTTATAGCAAAGGAAAACATTTTATAAGATTAGATTATTACATTAGACCACTGCTTCCCAAATATCTTCATTAGGCCCACCTTTGGTTAACAGAAAGTTTTTGCTCCCCTCACTCATTTTGCAATGAGATAAAACTCAATATACTTTTTTTTTATTATAAAAATGCCAAATTTAAAGATTATGTTCAATTTTAACTGTTTATTTTACAAACAATTGCCAGAAATAGTTATTGAATACCTCTAAAAATGGGTCATTTAATTAATTTCTGAAACAATTCCCAATGCAATAAAACTGGTCATACAGTGTGCGATTTTTTTTTAATGGTTGCACGCGGCTACAGCTCACACTGTATGACGAAACTGCAGGGTTTCATCATACAGTGCGAGTTCACTGTATGAGAACGATGCATGTTCTCACACTGTGCGACCCGACACTCTGATGCGATCTACCTACTGTACGTCTAAAACCCACATCAGAATTGTAATTGTAATTTAAAACTAAGAATAACTTCATTATTCCTGTCAAGGCTTTTACTGTTTTGTTAAGCCTCTTTCCAACTGAAAATGCGTGCTTTTCCAACATGAGTCGACCTGCTAATAATTGGCATGTCGCTCCCTTGCCATTTGCAACAGAAGCTGGGTCTAACCCCTCGTTGCCAAGATGCGTGACCTTTACCCCACGGCTGTGTGTCAGGTGACACCATCACGCTTGGTTAGCATTGATGATGTCACCAGTGCAACAGAAATCAGAAAATTAAAAAATGTAGACCATAATGGAAGGTAGCCAGTATGCTTTATTGTTTCTCTCTTTTATCTGTTCGAATCCCTTTCACTAGTGCTGCGCCATGTTTATCGAATTTAAACAGAGTCTATTTAGCTTGTTAGATCAGACATGGCTGGTGTGGTATGTTTACGTCTGTACGTTCACGTAAATTAGCAGGTCAACCCGGCTCTGGTGTTCCCATAGGATGACGATCAGAGGCGAGGCGATTTTAACGTGGGTCGCTTGCCGAGTCATTTCACTCGGGTAGACGCGTACGTGAGCTGTTCCCACTGCCACTGAAAGCCGATTTCTCCCACATTTAGACGGGTTTTTTGGCCAATAGGAAAGGGGTGTTAGAGAACATTATTTTAAAAAGTATCCACAAGGCCCTTAGTTGCTCTGAGGAGCTGCAGAGATCTGCTACACAGGGGGCTTATCTGTCAGCAGTACAGCTTTTAGTCATGCACCACATATTTGTTCTTGATGATAACAACAATCCTCGATGTAGAACATGGTGGAATGTGAATCATGTGTGGGAATACTTTTTTTTCCAGCGAGGACATCCAGTCAGTCCTTAACATATATATTTAAAGCTACAATAACATTGCATATATACTTGCATATATGGCACAGTCAAAGTCTCCATACGTTCTGAGAATAAGAAACATTTTCCATCTCTAGGTGGCAAAAGTTTAAGACATAGGTTACCCTACATGGCCTGGAGCTGTATTGGAAAGAAGGTGTTTCCACAAAGTTGAACTCAGCGACTTAACAGAAATGCACTCCACCCTTTTTAGAATTTTTATTTAACAAAGAACAAGTGAAAACCTGAAAACCTGCCTTCCCCTACCGCAGTAAATGCACTAATATTTGTGATCTATCACAAAAAGGAACTCTTGCTTTAGATAAAACTAAAATAGGATTCAAGGGGTGATTACTTTCACAATCCACTGTAATACACTTAGAAATTTCAAATGAAGTCAAGTTTTCTTGCATGTAGTCGCATCACGTGTGGGAGGGAGTTAGTGTCATTTCAGTGGGTGTGTTGCAAAGTTTATATCCTCCCCCCTGGGCTAGGTGTGAACAGGCTGCCAGTTTACAGTTACTGTGAAGCCTGACTCGAATTCCCCGTGACAGACAGAGGAGAGACAGACATCTCTAATGATGAAGATCACAGACTGAGGCCCTGCGTTTAAACTCACAACTTTACTTCATTGTGAGAACGAGGAAACTATCACTATTTCACCAGTTAAATATGCATGTGAAAATTATTAAGCTTCCTACCGGTCTGCCAAATTGAATATAGCCAGTGGAACATGAGGCCACCAACAGGCTAGTACTCTCCATGTGTTGCAGTCTCCAAAAAGGTCTTAAGTAAGACTAATGACATTCTTTTTTCTTTCTTTTTTTTTTGTCCTGCATGTGGGGCAGCCGGCCAGTGAAGGCAGGGATGGCAACTAGGAAAAAATAATGCAGGAGGTTAAAAAGGGGAAAGACTAAGAAAGAGAAGCCCCACAACCATCATTATGGCTGTTTAGCGCGGTCGTTGTGTTCTCAGCTAACATGCTAACCTGCCTATCTTTACAGCGCCGTCAAACTGTCCGGTGGCATTAACTCAAAATGAACTTCAGTTATTTTTATGGAATGGTGTTGGAGGGAGGCGTCTATGTGCCTTAACATGTTCACACGTCCTGTATGTCGTGGCATTAAGAGGAAGGTGTTGGGTGCTTATGTCTCGTCTAAGAATAGGCCAGAGGAGCTGCGGTACTGATGGTGGGTCCAGTATGAGGCAGCGTTTGAATCGCTGCCAGTGTGAAATCACAGGGGCAGTATAAACAGCGTAGCAGCCTCAGCTGTTGGTACTA